AGGAGAGGGGGAAGAGGAAAGGAAGGGAAGAGGCGAGGAGGGGAAGAGGCGAGGAGGGGAAGAGGCGAGGAGGGGAAGAGGGAAGGAGGGGAAGAGGAGAGAAGGGGAAGAAGAGAGGAGGGGAAGAAGAAAGGAGGGGAAGAGGAGAGGAGGGGAAGAAGAGAGGAGGGGAAGAAGAGAGGAGGGGAAGAGGAATGGAGGGGAAGAGGAAAGGAGAGGAAGAGGAGAGAGACTGAGAGAGAAAGTTGGCAGTCATAACTCACACTGCGGCGGTTATTGACCCTTGTCGAGGTCAGGAGTCACTGCGGCTCAGGATGCTGTGTGTCCATGTTCTTGTCCGTTTTTTGTAATCGTATGTCTTGTCCGTGTTCTTGTTTTCATGTACCTGTGTCCGTGTTCTTGTTTTCATGTACCTGTGTCCTTATGTCTTGTCCGTGTTCTTGTTTTCATGTACCTGTGTCCTTATGTCTTGTCCGTGTTCTTGTTATCGTGTACCTGTGTCCTTATGTCTTGTCCGTGTTCTTGTTATCGTGTACCTGTGTCCTTAAATCTTATCCGTGTCCTTAGGTCCGTTTTTAACTCGTGTGTCTATTTAATACATTCGTGCAATACATCCCTCTATCCGTCCGTAATTCCTGTTAACCTTTGATTTGATTAGGTTTCAATTAGGTTAGGTTAGGTTAGGTTAGGTTAGGTTAGATTACGTTAGTTTGGGTTTGATTTCACTAGGAAGAGGTTAGGTTAGGTATGATATGACTAGATTAGATTAACTTTCACTCGGATAAATTCAAGTTAAGTTTGATTTAATAAGGTTTAAATTAACATAGCAATCAACTTTAATCCAAGGTAGGTCGGTGGATGACCCTGTACCATCACCAAGACTCGAGATGACCTCAGTATAGTAGTGAATGTCTCCTGTTATTAGTGCCTCGGGTCACGTCTCCTGAACCCTGGTGTTGTGAGGCGACAGACTGGGTCACCTTTAATGCGAACCTTGTAAAATATTAAAATAAGTTTGCGGTAAAGTTAGCTTAGGTTAGGACGTTGGGTTAGGGTTGTCTTGGTTAGGGTTGGGTTGGGTTACATAAATTTGGATTGGTTTAGGGAAGGTTGGGTTAGGTTAGGTTCGGTTGTGTTTGTTTAGGTTAGGTTTGCTTTGCTTTGCTTTGGTTTGGTTGAGTTAGATAAGTTTGGATTGGGTTAGGGGCAATCTAGGTTGGGTTGGGGTAAGTTAGGATTTTAAGTGAGGTTAAGTGAGGTTAGGTTAGGTTAGGTTAGGTTAGTTATGCATAAGATTGTTTGGATTCTGTTTGATGAAGTATTAAGGGAAACATTAATAGACAGTATATAGTATATCCTTTTACTTAATACGTTGTTGAAAGAAGGTCCATCTATCTTCTGCGGACGATAGTTTTTGGATACTTATATATGCAATATTGATCCCTTCCGTCTCCCTTCATCAATGCCCCCCTCACATCTCCTTCAATCCATCCACCCTTCCTTCCTCCTCATTTCTTCCATCCCATTCCATCACATCCCCTGCCTTCCTTTCTCTCACTTTCGTGGTATCTATTCTCAATCTTGCCTTCCCTTGCCCTCCCTTACCTTCCCTCCCTCCCCTTCCCTACCTTCCCTCCCTCCCCTTCCCTACCTTCCCTACCTTCCCTTCCCTAAAACTCAGAATGGAGAAACCGTGAGCTTCTGGTGCCATTTTGGATTGACGTCACCACATTCACGTCTTTTCAAGGTGGTCTGATGTATTTTTTTTTCCCCTTTTTGAGACGTGACCTTTACTTTCTTTCCCCCGTGGAGGGAACGCGGACCACAACTCTAAAAATATGTTTGATTGTCTGTCTCTCTCTCTCTCTGTCTGTCTGTCTGTCTGTCTGTCTGTCTGTCTGTCTGTCTGTCTGTCTGTCTGTCTGTCTGTCTGTCTGTCTGTCTCCCTTTTTGTTTGTGTTTAATTTTGTGTCTGTCTTTGGTGTTTTGTTTATATGTTTGTCCATCTGTCTGTCTGTTTACCTGTATGTCTTTCTGTCTGTGTCTGTCTGTCTGTTTGTATGTCTTTTCTGTATGTCCGTTTATCTTTTTGTTTACCAGTTTGTTGGTTTGTCTGTTTCTATTTTTCTGTATTAGTTTGCAAATCTCTCTGTCTACCTATTTGTCATTTTGTCTACCCATTTTCTTGTCTGTCTGTCTTTCGCATTATTATCACAACTATAGGTCTATGGCCTATGAGTCCCCCCTTTCGTTTCTACAGTAGACCCGTAACTCACATGGTTAATCCCAGTTTACACACGCCTCCACAATACACCTGTCTGTTTCCTGTCCTGGACAACTATTCAATTTGGGCATCTGTAGTCGACACACTGTTGTTATTCTTTGTTTTTTGTTCGTTTAATATTATATTGCTGAAAATCCAATATCAGCCGCGTCCATCCAGGCAACAGCAGATGGGTTGAGTCGTGCGAATTGAGTGGGGTCGTGGTGGGTGGGGGGGGGTCGGGTTTGTTGTCGTTTTCCTGGGAGGTAAACAAATAACTGCTTGTTCCTCCTTGTCGCCTCACACGCACCAACGTGTTGACACAAGTTCGTAACAAGTTCCAGTTATGGCTCCTGCGGCGGCTAGTAAGGATCTCTGTTTGCACTGCACCCGTTACAGTTACCTCGTCTCTCTCTCTCTCTCTCTCTCTCTCTCTCTCTCTCTCTCTCTCTCTCTCTCTCTCTCTCTCTCTCACACACACACACAAACACCTATCACTGTACAGACGCCACACAAACACAACCGTCCACACCCTGACTTTCCAACCACAAACAATGAGAAGAAACAGACTGTCTTCAGTTCTCCCGTTAACAGTAAAAATGGTGGAAATTATCCCAAATGCAATTACTTTCCTTTGTACACTCGTAACCCCTTGATTCTTTCCAGCGCAGTGTCATCTTATTAAAGGAAATTGGATATCTTATTCAAAGGGTTAAGATACCATACCCAAGGTGTTTAGATATTGTATTCAAAGAGTTGATCGTACACAGAGTTATCTTACTTGAAGGGTTAAGTTATCGTACTCGGAGGATTAAGTCATCATACCTGAGGGATTGAGTCGTATTACCCGAGTGGTTAAATCATAGTTCTCAAGGGATTAATTCATCATACTCAAGGGGATAAGTCATCATATTCAAGAGATTATCATCGTTCTTAAGTAATTAAATTACTTAACTCAAAGGATTAAATCGTCGTCTTCAAATGGTTAGATTCCCCCTTTCGACAGCTTTCAATTTGCAGAAGCCAGTGTAGCGGTCGTTGGGGGATCAAAGGCCCTGCCGTGGTTTCCTGCTGGCGTGGCAACATTTGAATACAGTACAATAGATCCAGGTTACGAGGGAATAGCTGGCGTCGGGCGTGGTAGACTTTGATCATTATTTCTAGCAACACTGACTGACTCCGTGTAGCATGGGCGTGGCAGGCGTGGGTGTAGTGGGCGTGGTAGGCGTGGGTGTATTGAGCGTGGTAGGCTCCGATCTTCACGTATTGCAACCACCTCCGTCACCCAGCCCCACCTGCGTCACCCACCCCCACCTGCGTCACCCACCCCCACCTGCGTCACCCACCCCCACCTGCGTCACCCACCCCCACCTGCGTCACCCACCCTCACCTGCGTCACCCACCACCACCTGCGTGACCCAGTCCTATTTACGTCACCTTCCCCCTTATCTCCCTGCACACCTACGCATTAATTACCATCTTACCTGAGATTTACACTAGGCAGTTAATTAACACACACTCTATATCACGGCCACCTGGGAGATTAGGAAGTCACCTTCTGCCCTTGCCTACCAGTCAGGGAAGACTTGACCCGTGTAGCACCTACTGGAGGGGGGGGGGGGTCTTCTCCATATGAGGTAATTTCTAACACATGTTACACAATGATAATATGTGGCCATAAGGAAGGAAGTCCAAGTGAGAGAGTCGACCAAGGCAACAATACTTAAGACAATGGCTGTGAATATAATGTTATTGTTTTTCGATGTATTTTTTTTTTTAGTAATGGGTTACATTTATCTCATAGATTGTGCGATTTATTTTACGAGTCCAAATAACAGTGAAGTAAATTTGGTTCATACTTTCTGACACACACACACACACGCACACACACACAGGAATCAATTGCTCGTCATGACTACGACAGCGTGACCACCACGTATGCAGCGCTACAGCCTTCGTCAGCTCTCCCGGTGGAGGGATACACCAAATTGAAATTGGGCAGGTATTCAATATTCACCTGCGGGCAAATAACCTATTCAGGTGATGTGAATGAAGGGCGCACAGGTTCAGGGGTATATATTGGTACGTACAGCAATTTGGTAATACTGTATATACAGTATATATATATATATATATATATATATATATATATATATATATATATATATATATATATATATATATATATATATATATATATATATATATATATTAATGACCAGTTATACACCGTACTCGCTCCATCACACACACGAGACATTGATGTTACTAGTCTGGCTGTGGATTAATCCCGTTTGATATAGATGGCGGCTGTGTGTCCTCAGGTCCTTGCCAGAGTAAGAAGGGTGGAGGGTGTTGGAACTCGGGAAGGTTGTGCGTGTTGAGTCAACCTTATGTTGTTTAAAAGGGAATTAGACTGGTTCGTTTTGTACACGTGGAGGTTTAATATGTATGGTAATCGGTAAATGATGTTTTTAATTGTTTTTTACTTGTTATCATTGGTTGTTTGTATTGGTCCTGTCGTAGTCGTAGCTAATAAATATTTACTGTTATTGTGTTCATCATGTACAGTTAATGTAATGATGACGTCATTTAGTATGTTTTAATGTTAGTGTTCATGTGTTTTATTATTATTATTATTATTATTATTATAATCATTATTATTCACCACGACCATTAAGTTTATTCAATTACTTTCATTTAAATCATTATTAACATCTTCACTTTCACTCTACAGAAATCGGGGGCGCGGATGAAATGCTCAGCGTGTAAGATCATCGCCCACACCGGATGCATCGCTGCCCTGGTGGAGCGGGTCAAGTTCCCGTGTAAGCCAACCTTCCGAGACGTGGGCCCGCGACAATACCGCGAGCAGACCGCCACCCACCACCACTGGGTGCACAGGCGGAGTCAGAAGGGCAAATGTAAACAATGCGGCAAGGTGAGTGTTGTCCTGTCTTGCGGGGGGGGGGGGGTCTGTTTGGGTCATTTACGGGGTGTTTTAGTGTTCGGTCATTAAACGTTTTGGTGTCGGGGCATTGAATGTTTTGGTGTCGGTTCCTTATACATTTTGGTGGTGTTCGGTAATAAAACTTTTTGGTGTCCTGTGAACGACTTATAAAATATTGTATTGTTGGAGAATGCTATTAAAGGGAATATGCAGATTAAGTTCACTTCTGACGATTATAGCTTCGATAGTTCCAGAGTTAGGGCTATTTAATTTACACACACACACACACACACACACACACACACACACACACACAATTAGCTGTGGGTGTATAACTGTATGTTACCGTAGACAGATATTATTCTCCACTCCGAAAAACCCCGACATATTAATTTTTCCTAAAACAACGACAAACTAGAAGCTAATTAATTTCCTTTACAACACAACTAATCCCAAATTAATTGTGTTCCCTCTAAAACACGAAAAAAAAATTTCTACACCTAGGATCTTCAACGCAGGTAATTATTTATAAAAATTTCGCGCCGCAGTTTCACCACGAGACATGTTTGGGACTGACAACCACAGCATCACTGGGAAAAAAATATGTCTCACTGGTATTGTTGTCCTGTAAATAAAAAAATATATAATAATAATAAATTGATGTTATCTGCTGGCAATTTCTCCAGAGTGTCGGTAAATATTTTTGGTATGTTTTTTTGTCTTGTTTTTTTACTGGGAAATATATCATTGAATTTTCGGCTGCTCTTGCTTCCTGTAGTAGTTATTATTATTATTATTATTATTATTATTATTATTATTATTATTATTATTATTATTATTATTATTATTATTATTATTATTATTATTATTATTATTATTATTATTATTATTATTATTATTATTATTATTATTATTATTATTATTATTATTATTATTATTATTATTATTATTATCATTATCATTATTATCAACTCATTCTTGGAAGGATGATGTAAGGATGATTAAAAATAAAAACAGGAAAACTAGATAATGACAAGAGAGAGGAAATAAAGTGGAACAGGAGAGGAAGAAGAAATAAAATCTCCAACAGAGTAAACGATAAGCATCAGAAAATATTGACAACAGGTGTACAGTAGCCAGCGTGGGTGGGTGGGTGTATCAGTGTAGAAGCTAGTTGTTGAGCCTCGTGTTGGCTCTCTGGACACGGGGTCAACACGAATTATGGAGAGGAAGTCTTGTTGTGATGATCAGGAGGGGTAGGGGGTTTGAGGAGTAGAGGGTGGTGGGTGTGGTAGGGGGAGTGGAGTTGGTTCACCTTCTAACAGTAAGGGAAAAGGTTAGGGATTTTAACCACTATATTCCATCACCAGTAGTACGACACTCCCTTATCATGATCAACACCAACACCGCTTTACTCCACCATCACTCCACCACTACCAACACCACCACACTCTACGACTACCAACGCCACCCTCCACCACCAACACCGCACCCCACCACTACCACCACCACACTCCACCACCACTACCAACACCACACTCCACCACTACCAACACCACACTCCACCACTACCAACACCACACTCCACCACTACCAACACCACACCACCACCACTACCAACACCACACCACCACCACTACCAACACCACACTCCACCACACTCAACCTCTTACCTTACTGAGAAGATTGAGGTATAATTTGCCTAATCTAAGTAGGTCAGTCAGATCTTGACGCTAAGGGTGCTATCACTGTTCACTGCCACGTAGGACAAAGGTTCATACACAAGAGGGTAATAGAACAGTTTATATTCATAAGCGTTTTATTCTATTTGAGGACTAATCAGTGTGGACGAGAAAATTTAGGATAGACTGCAAGAATGTCCTCAAGCACTCCTGAATCTATGTAGTCGTTACAGAGTTCATGATACAAAAAGCCAGCTGGCCTGAAGCCTTTGACAGTTCGCATTCAATACTATAATGTTTAGGTGTATGCTTTAAAGGTTTATCACAAAGTTTACATGCTTCCACCACTACCACATTCCACCACCACCGCCACATTCCACCACCACCACCACATTCCACCACGATCACACTCCACTACCACCACCACATTCCACCACCACCACACTCCCGCCACTACTACATTCCACCACCACCACATTTTCACCACTACCACACTTCCACCAACGCCACACTTCCACCAACACCACTGCAATCCACCACCACCACACTTCCCTTCTCTCTGGGTGTGTCATCGACATTTGGCCTCACGGAAACAATTTTCTCTAGTCCTCCCTCACGTCCCTCCCTCCCTCACGTACACAAGTGGAGTGACATTATACACACACACACACACACACCTGGGTTTGTCAGGAACAATTAGCCCCAGGGAAAAACTAGTTCGTTCATTCTCCTCTTCCCGCCTACACGAGCACGGTGGCGCGGTGTTCATGTACAAACAGGTAAGACACGTGTACACTGCTCTGTACATATCTTTTGTTAAAACATGCATGAGTACATTTTGTGGTCTTGTTCAGATAGAGGATGTTAATGAATGTACACACACGTAGTCTCGCACACACACACACACACACACACACACACACACACACAGAGTGACTCAGTGAGAGAGAACTTGAAATATTGACAGATGAATTCCCTCGAGACAAAAACTCCTCAAACTGTGAAGAGTTTTCTTGGGAACTAGTTTGCTGCCTGAGAGCTTGTGTGTGATTGGCTGTGTATTTTGAAAGCTTGTGTGTGATTGGCTGTGTATGTTTTAAGAGCTTGTGTATGATTGGTTGGGTGTTTTAAGAGGTTGTGTGTGTTTTGAGAGTTTGTGTGTGATTCTTGCCTATTATTATTATTATTATTATTATTATTATTATTATTAGTAGTAGTAGTAGTAGTAGTAGTAGTAGTAGTAGTAGTAGTAGTAGTATTTATTATTAATATTATTAATGTTGTTTTTATTATTATTGACGTAAATTCTGTTGTTATTACTTATATTCAGAAAGATTTTTATAGCATCTGTATATATTACGTTTATTAATAATTAATCAAAATGGTGTTAAATATTTTTGTGAGGTTTTACAAAGAATTTATTTAGTGCAAAAAATATAAATTAAATAAATACAAAACCTTAAAGAATATTTTGTTAGTAAAATAATAAATTTAAGAAAATAATTACGAACAAGACTAAATTAAATATATTATCCATACATGACAAATCTATACTTTTTCCACAAGATATATTTTTTTCTCGGCGACGGATTTAAATACTGACATGTAATAGTAAGTGAAGCAATACATATATTTCCTTAGTTTCATTGTTGAGAAATATACAGCAAATACTAATACATTAATACATGTATATTACTGAAAGAAAAATATAATCCACTTTATTTTGTTTTATTAGAAGTGAAAAATATGACATATATATATATATTATGAGTGTAGTGTTGATGTGTATTAAAGTGTGTAATGGGAGTAAATAGGAGAGTAATAGGAGATAGGATATTGAAGGGGAAATTGGAGAAAGTTTAAGGCATTATGGGAGGAAAGGTTATGGGAACTAGCAGGAAGATTTTAATGGGAAATTGCAGGAAAAAATAATGGGAATTGGCAGGAAAAATTAATGGGAATTTGCAGGAAAATATAATGGGAAATATCAGGGAGCTTATAATAGCAAATAGACTAAAAATAAATGGGAAATAACTAGAAAATGAGACATCAAACGTGGTGAGAAATGAGGGGAAATATTTCTCGCCATGGTGAGTTAGTCTCTTATCTCTCAGTCTCTATTTACGACTCCTGTTATGTTGGGGGGAGGGGCGATAGTGGATGATGGAGAGATACAGAGAGACAATAAAAGAGACAGACCAAGAAAGAGAGGAAGAGATAAAGAAAGAGAGAGAGACAGAGATAATGACAGACAGATAAAGAGAGAGACAAAGAAAAAACAAAGAGCGTGAGATAGACACACAAAGAGAGACAGACAAAGAAAGAGAAAGAGAGACAAAGAAAAGAGAGAGAGTGGAGAAGGGAGGGAGAGATAGGAAGAGACAGAATAAGGGGTATAGAGACAGAAAATGAGAGATATAGACAGAACGAGAGACCCAAAGACCGAAAAGGAGCTAAGGAATAACAGGAGACAGTGATGTTGTAGAGAGAGAGAGAGAGAGAGAGAGAGAGAGAGAGAGAGAGAGAGAGTGTGTGTTGGGTGAATTATTAGTTTAAAAAATATTGTGACCTGTTTAATAATACACTAATTTATATAATGCTCTAACCTCGTTGCTATATGGTGCTGTTAAATGGAGAAAATAATAAATTTATAATGCTGTTTATGTCTTAATATACTCCGTTCATAATGCTCTTATTTTAATAAACAATGATCATTATAGTACTCTTTACGGTGTCTACTTATTGCAATGCCAAGTTTATAATGTTGTAAGCTTCATAATATACTCAGTTTATAATGCTGTTATGTTAAAATACAGTATATATTATGCTGTGAACTTAATGAAATACAAATTCCATACATCTGTTGCCTCGATAGAACTCTAACTTAATAATGCTCTAAAACTAATTCAAATACAATAGCTCTATGATACCTACCACCTCACTAGTACTACAAGTCGATATACATAATACCAGAAAATGAACAAAAATACAGAAAATCTACACTTCATTAACTCTACAGAACACCCACTACAAAAATGCTGTCCGATTTGTAAATACAGTAAAACATTTATATTGGCATCAGTTTTAGAAAAATATCCTGCCGGTAATATCACAACATTGAGCACGTAAGTTTGACACAGCAAGCAACATGTACAAACAAGTGACCAAATTGCATGCCATCGTCGTCCCCACAGTTCATGTTAAAGGTGAAGCTCCGGTAATACTGGCAAATAGTCGTCACTCCAACATGGGGAAGGTGTGTGTGTGTGTACTGTGCAGACTCCAACATGGGGCTGCTGTGTGCGTGTA